CCAAATGATACAAAGACTGCCCAGAAAAAAGCACATGCCTGCATATTTGGGGCAGAGGACTGACACCATGGCTGCTGAAAAGATTAGCATCAAAAAGAAGCCAAGTACTTTCCACCAAGATAATAGGAAAAATGGCTTGAAGGCACCTAAGAATCAGGAAGACCACATCCATCACAGGCTTACAGATGCAAAAGGATAAGCCTTTCACTTGAGAAGAGATTTGGCATTCATTAGGCATCAAGACTTCTGAAGCAGCCCTGGCAGCCCAGCCAGTGTGCCCCTCTGAGAGGGCAGTGAATGCAGCTGTGAGAGTGAAGCTGAGAGGCCTGTGGAGACCTCGGAACAGAGAGGCCAGGGATGCAGAACATCGGCCAGAGAAAGTTTCAGGCAGCAAGAGGAGACAGCCCAAGCGAGAGGCTAGGTGGGTCAGAACTAGCAAGGTCATAGGGTGAAGCTGTCAAAGCCCTTTGATTTTTTTTGGTGGGGGGTACTGGGGATCAAACTCAGAACCATGTGCTTGCCAGGTAGGCACCTGTACTGCTGAGCTATCTCCCCAGCCCAATCCTTTGAAGTTTAATCTCACTGCATCCTGGCTCAGGTCCTGGACATGGAACTACACGATTTAATGTTTGCCCTCCAGGGCTTTGGTCCTGCTTTGGTTCCGTTCCTGTCTCTTTCTATGTCTCTCCTTTGGAATAGGAACTTTTATCCTAGCCATTATAACTCTCTTCTTGATTTTTATAGGCGCTTACATCTAAAAGTTGGCCTGAATCTCAGAAGAGACTTTGAACTTGGCCACTTAGTAGTGTTGGAATGGTTAAGAATTTGGCAGTTCTTAGAAATGAATTAAAAGCATTTTGCATAATGAGATGAGATGGGCCCATGTGGGCCAGAGGTCTGTTCTGGTTTACATCTAAAATGTCTCCTGCAACACATGTTTTGGAAAGAGATTGGATCACGGGAGTGCTTTGTTCACCAGTAGATTCATCCACTGATGAGTTCAGTAGTTATATGTGCTGCCAGGTGACAGGGGCCTCGAGGAGGTGGACCCCGGGGGTGTGGCCTGGAGGTCTGGGCTCTTGTCCCTGGCCCCCTCCCTCGCTTCCTAGCCACCATGGCGTGAGCAGACTTCCTCACCTGCGCCCTCCCACCATGCTGCCTCTACCTTGGCACAAAGCCACGACAGACGGGTCCCCTAAGGCTGCGAGCCAAGCAGCCCCCACCTCTCTAAGTTGGAGGGGTCGGGGATGTTGCTGCAAGTGTGGGAAAGCAGCACAGACAGACAGCCACGTCTCAGTGCTTCCCGACGCTTGGGTGTGCACGCCATTCCCCAAGCTCTGCTAGGGAGCAGAGGCCAGAGCCGAGAGTGCATTTCCATCCGCCCTCACCTGACGAGGGCGCTGTGTGTGGGACCATGCTAAGCGGACAGAGGCATTCCTTACTGGGAAGAACCCTGGGCTTGCAGTCTGTCGACCAAGCTTCTATAACCTTGGGCAACTTAACTTATTTCTCTGAGTCCTCCTTTGTCTCTTAAATGTGAAATAAAAGCCCTTGTTTATTCTTATTTTTTACTGCAGTCCCAGTGAGCCCATGGAGTAGCAGGCAGAAAGCCAAGGGGGTTATGTGGAAGGTATGTAGGAACCTCACAACAACCCTACTCTGATCTTTGCTGGGGATTTACCATTTTTGAGAAGTTTTACTAGACTTTTCTCCCTTAAAAATCTCTTTTGGTTGAAAACTTATTTACACCTGCATGTAAGGTTATTTTGAAGATGAAAGTGTGTGAAGCCAGGGCCAATCCTTCCCAATGAGAAAGCATTTTTACCTTCTGGAGCAGGTGGTAACTGAGCTTTACAATCACCTGTTCAACTTGGCATCAAATGTGGCTGACAGTCCCTCTAGTTTCCTGGTCTTCTGATAACTGGGCTCCAGTTTCATTGTGCCATCCTAAAGCCCCCAGGGTGCTCTGATTCTCACGGTGCCGCTGCCCCCTGTACTTTTCAACTCCTGTGCTTACTCTTGCTCTAGGGATCCTCCCACTGGAAGTGGACTTTGTTCAGAGCACCCTGAATCTGAAGCCCTACGTCTGAACTCTGCCCAGGGCCTGATGTACTAGAAAGATCTGCTCAGGGTCGACTGCTGCTCAAACAGATATGCCTGATAACGATCCTTCACCACTACCCAGGAGGACCCTCAGTGCCAGCCCAGCCTCACCAGGCTCCAGTCTCCTCACCCTCCCGTAATGGTGGCGCAGGGCCAGCTGTCTGATTTTTAAAGGGTAAGGGGATTAGTTTATGAGGGCAATCAAAGAGAGCTCCAACGTTCATATTTTGAATTGCTAAGAACAATTAGCTCACAATGGAATGCATAGTTCTTTCTCAAACTGTACTTCCCAATGTACAAATTATATTCATGCACTTATCTTACAGTATAGATAATATAATCTCCACTTCCAGATAAAGCTCAAAAAAACCATGCCTCTCTCTCTCTCTCTCTCTCTCTCTCTCTCTCTCTCTCTCTCTCTCTATCTCTATCTCTCTCTCTTTTGGTCTTTTTGAGACAGTCTTGCTATGCAGTGGAGGCTGGCCTTGAGCTCACTTTGTAATCAAGGCTGGCCTCAAACTTGCAGCAATCCTCCTGCCTCAGCCTCCCCAGTGCTGGGACTACAGCAGGGTACCACCACAGCGTGCCAAGCCATGTATGTTCCCGCAGTAAGTGCCCCAGCCGGGACACAGCCCTGACGGACAGCTGCCCTCGGAGAAACTCGCTCACCGCCTCACGTTCTGGTGGACGCGTAAAGGTGCTCCTCACCTCTAGCTGAGGGCAGGAGCAGTGCAGGTTGTCTGTGGGCACAGAGGCAGTAAAGCCACAAGCAGACAGCTTGGTCACTTCCTCTGGATGGGACGGCTCGTAGAAAGGCACCTTCAGAAGATGGTTCAGGCTACCGTGGGTGCCATTGTTTGGTGCGGGCTGAATGCGGAGGAGATCTGGTTGAAAAGAAGTACGATCAAAACAGCATTAAATTAGAAGGCAGCAGCCGGGTGTGTGGCACGTGCCTGCAAGGCCATCACTGAAGAGGCTGAGGCAGGAGGGTCTCTCTCAGTTTGAGGCCAGCCTGGGCTCCATAAGCTAGTTTAAGGCCAACCTGAGCTACAGCGTGAGACTCTGTCTCAAAAAAAATAAATTTAAAAGGCAACAGCTGTCACATAGGAAACAGAAACAACCCTACTCTCATGTTCCTCTCCTAAGCCCTACTGTAACGCACTCCAGCACTGACTGCAGAAGCCAGTCAGCTCCCTGACTTTTGGGGCGATCTCCACATGTGAGCCGTCCACTTTGGAGAGTCCCCACAGACCAGCCACCGGAACTGCCATGCATCCCCTCTGCTCCCCCGAGAGCTTCGTTGCTTCCATGATCACCTCAGTTAAGCATACACTGGTTCTGCCACATGTGGTGTGCACAACTATAATCCCAGCACTGAGGAGGCTGAAGCAGGAAGGTTGCCATGAGTTCAAGCCTCGCCTCAGCTACATGGCAAAACTCCATCTCAAAAAACAAACAAACTAACAAAAACCTTGTGTTTTTAGCCATGTTTATCCTAGCTTGAAAAGTCAGAAGTTTAAGGTTTTTCTAAATTTTCTTAAATTATCATTTAGCTATGAATAGAAAAACTTGCTTTTCTAAAAATCTAAAGCTTATCATTTCTAGTAAAGTGAAAAGAATTCACTCTTGAAAACTATCTGCCTTCATTTGTGAATGTATTCGTCTATACTTACCACACATTAGATTATAGAGTTCAATATTTTCAAATGGTTCAACTTCCATTTTCTCTTTAAAACTGGATCCATGAGCCAAGAACATGGCCTAGGAGAAATGGTCATATTACTATTCATAGGCAGCTACCTACACCCACAGGTATGTGGAGAGGAGACAAGTACAAAGTTATCTCCAGTGACAACTCTCCTGTCAGTGTCTTAGACCTTAGACATTTATGAGGATTTTTTATTGTTTTGTTTTAGTTTCAGTTTTTTATTTTGTTTTGTTTGTTTTTAAGACAGCATTTCACTATGTAGCTCAGGCTGGCCTTAAACTTACTTTGTAGCCCAGGCTGGCCTCAAAATCACAGCAGTCCTCCTGCCTCAGCCTCCCAAGTGCTGGGATTAGAGACCTGTCCCACTACACCTAGGATAAGGATTTCTCTTCAGATTTGAAAATTATTTTTAAATCCTTTAGGGCTGGTGACATAGCTCAGTGGACTAAGTGCCTGCTTTGGCAAGTCCAGGGGCTGGGGTCAGATCCCTGGGACCACATGCCATGCTGGGCCCAGCCCTGTCCCCGGCCCCAATCCTGGTGTGTTGAGCCAGTGATTGAGTCTGGGTGTGATGGCGCACGCCTGTAATCCCAGCACTAGAAAAGCTGAAAACAGGAGGATCACTACAAGCTGGAGCTGTGTAGTAAGACTCTGCACAAAAAAGAGAAACAAGCAAAAAACTAAATCCCTCCCCCGTGACTTCGCAATGCCAATCAAATACAACATACTGTGTCCATTTCTATCTCCAGCTGCTTCATTTTCTAGGGGGACATGAAAGAGCAGACGGAGCGCACCAGCCTCACTCTGGCACATCTGGATAGAACGCACCTGTGAGTCTCTGAATAGCGCCACCCGCCCTTGCCTTACTGGCCATTCCATTGCTCAAAGATGTTTTGCACAGCGTTTGGTAAAGAGACCGAAATTTTTGTTGTAGCTTTTTCCCCCTCTCCCCGACAGGGGCTCAGGACAAAGGGCTCTAAACTCACTATGTGGCCCAGATGGGCCTTGAACTTATGGCAGTCCCCCACCTCAGGCTCCTGAGTTCTGAGATTATAGGCACGCAGTGCCACACCTGGCTGAGACCTGAGTCTTTTGATTTCTAATCAATTAATGCTCACTTTATACTTTTTTTTTTGTGGAACCAGGGATTGAACTCAGGCCCTTGCACTTGCCAGGAAAGCACTTATTCCACTGAGCCATCTCCCTGGCCCCAAGCCTAATTATTTAAGATTGTAATCAAGTAGAAGTATCAGACATAGAGAAGCATTCTTTTTTACTTACAAGCTCACATAATTTTTATTTCTCTAAGATAACTACTAATGAACTGCAGGCATGGGGGGTTTTTGGCACTTGTGAACTGCACTGTGATACAGCACACTAACAGAAGAATGTGTTTCCAGAGAAGTTCCAGATATTTACAAAAAGGTAGAACCCGCCCTGACAGTGGGAAGAGGCAGCGTGTTCAGGAAGAGCCTCATCTACATTCTTCTGTTAGGAAGGGAGTGTGCGACACATATGTGCTCCTGTGTGTGCGCCTGTGTGGGTGTGTGGGTGTGTGGCTATGTGGCTGTGAGTGTGTGGGTGTGGGTGTGGCTTTGTGGGTATGGGTGTGCACTAAATGGAACTAGATCAGACAGTGAGACTGCGGAAAGCAGGACGCTCGGCCTGGGGCAGCCTCTGGGCACCTCCTTCACGGGCTTCTCAGGAGTTTTTCTTCTCCTCGGGCTCTTGCTTTTCGCTCCTCCCCGCCACAGCCCCTGCACCAGCTCTCTCCCAGTGGCTCCTTTTCTCCACACCTCCAGAGAGCAGCGTCCACATCTGGCGCCTGAACGTTACCACACTGCATCTCTAAGGATCTCACCAAGGTCCGTGCCTGGTAAATAGTTTCTGAGGAGATCCTGGAAGATGAGGGCGTGTGAGCAGCAGAGAGGCAGCCTCTGCGGGAGGGCCTCGCCCAGCACAGGTCAGAAGTGGGATCCGTGAGACATTTTCAAACAGAGATGCGGGAGACTGAAAATTCCGCTGAAAGTCTATGCAGCCAAGTGAGCCCATGTGAGGACAGAGAGTCAGACAGAGAAGACAGGATCACAGTTAGTATTCATCTAAAGAAAGATTTCTTAAAAGTAGCAAGGGACAGCCTGCCATGGGGGCCCCAGCCCTGTGGCCTGCTGAGACAGCAATTGAGACTGGGCATCTGGCTGTCATCCCAGCACTTGGGAGGCTGAAAACAGGAGGACCATGATGCGTGTGATGTGTGTGGTGAGACCCTGGAGACCCCGTACTAAATACATTTAAAAAAAATAGCAAGAGACCACAAATATCCATCCAACAGCCACTCAGTGATGCAAAGAAGAATAGTATAAGATTAATAGGAATAAATGAAAAGCAGGAGATAGTGCACATGACATTAAAAAAAAAAAAATTATTCCAGTGGCTGAAAACTTCTCAAGCAAAAAAAAAAAAAAAAAAAAAAGAACTTGACACACAGTAAATGAGGTATTTAGAGCTCCAATTACCCAGAATTGGAAAAAACTACAGCAAGGCATATAAAGTCAATATTCCATAAATTCAACAGAAAAACAAATTATTAAAAACTGTAAGAGAAAAAGACACAAATATAAAAGAACATCCATCAGAATCATAGCAGAATTCTCAACACAAACCCTCAAGTCGAAGAGAGTTGGAGGGACAAATTTCAACCCCTAAAAGAAAACAAACCCCAGTCCAGATTGATAACACCCTGCACAATCATCTTAAAACTTGCGGGGCACAGTGGTGCACATCTGTAACCCCAGCTCTCAGCAGGCTGAGGCAACACGATTGCTGTGAGTCGGAGGCCAGTCTGGGCTACAAGGTGAGCTAAAACTCTAAATACTAGCATATCCCACTATATAAAACAAACATTAACAGAGGTGAAAATCAAATAGGCACTAACACAGTTGCACCGGAGGAACTTAGTACCCCACTGTCACAAATAACTAGATCAACTAGACAAAAAATTAACAAAGAAATACCAGAACTGAACAAAACATAGAGTTAGATGTCTACAGAATGTTCCAGCCCATAACATGATAGGACACACTCTTCTCAGTGGCCCAGAAGACCTTTTCTGAATTAGACCATGTATTATTACCTTATAGAACATGCACATGCAAATGAAGAGAAAGTGAAATTATCCTCTACGTATTATCAGACCATAGTGCAATAACACTGAAAATCAATAGCAAAAAAAAAAACCAAACCACCACACAAGAACTGCATGAACACATGGAAATGAAATAACACACTCCTGAACAACCAGTGGATCCCAGATGGTATTAAGGAAGAACTTGGACAGTCTCTGTAATGAAATAATAATAATGCCAACACAATATACCAGAACTGATGGGCTACAAGGAAAGCCGTCTTTCAAAGCATGTATAGTAGTATATTCCTATGTCAGAAAAAATAGATCAAACTCAACTAAACAAAGTAATATTGAACCCCAGTCTTCTAGAAAAGAGCAACTCAAGCCCCAACATCATGAGGGAGGAACTTACAAAGATCGGAGCAGAAATTAATGCAATACAGACTAAGAAAACAATATAAAAAATGAATGAATCACGGGAGTAGTGGTACACACCAGCCTGAACTGCATATTGAAAGTCTATCTTTTTATTTATTTATTTATTTATTTATTGGTATTTTAGGGAAGGGTCTACAGGGTGTTCAGGGTCTAGATCAGACTCATAGTGATCCTCCTTTTTACAGCCTCCCAAGAGCTGGGATTACAAGTGCATGCCACCACGCCCAGTCTCAATTACAGCCTCAGTGCGCCCCAGCGGCAGGGCTGGCGTGGCAGGCCCCAGGGATCCAACCCCTGGCCCCTGTGCCTGCTTGCAGGTGCTTTAATCCACTGAGCTATTTGGTTGGCCCTTGAAAACCTATTTTTAAAAGACTAAAGGGCCAGCGAGACAGCTCAGCGGACTAAGTGGACTAAGCTCCTGCTGAGGCAAGTACAAGGGCTGGGGTTCAATAGCACCACATGCTGCTGCGGCTCCAGTCCTACCCCCAGGCTCCCTGAGCCTCACTGGGTGTGGTGGCACATGTTCATAATCCCAGTGCTGGGGAGGCTGAAAACAAGAGGATCACTACGAGTCCAAACTGCATAGTGAGATCCTGCACCCAATACATAACATTTTTTTAAAAAAAGAATAAAATGGAGAGTAGGTTCATAGAAATAGTAAGTGAAATTGACAAACCCTTACCAACCCTTCCCAAAAGGAGGGAAAAAGATACTCTAATTCAAGCAATTAGGAATAAAAAGGATAAAATCACAACAGATCCTACAGAAATCCAGAAAAGCAACAATACCTACTTTAGGAACTTCTATTCTAGTAAGATTAAAAACACAGGAAAAAAAAGGGCATATTCCTACATATGTACAATCACTAAAGCTGAATCAAGAAGATATAAAAATTCTTAATAAGCCAGTATCAGTCAATGAAACTGAAGGGACCAGGGAGATGGCTCAGTAGAATAAGCACTTGCCTGATAAGCGCAAGGGCCTGAGTTCAACCCCTGGTTCTGCCAAAATACAAAACAAAACAACAACAACAACAACAACAAAAAACCTCAAGATATAATTACAAACTTATATCATAAGTTGGATTATAAGCTGGATTCACTGCCATCCATTATACGATGGAGTCACTGCTGAATTCTACATGAAATTTAGAGAAGATCTAATACCATGACTTCTCAAACTCTTTAATGAAATAAAAAAGGAAGCAGTACTCGCAAATTCATTCCTGGAAGCAAGCATTACCCTGATATGAAAAGCAAAGAAAGATCCAACCAAAAAAGAGAACTATGGGTTAATCTCCCTAATGAACACAGATGTAAAAATCCTTAATAAGATATTGACAAACACCAAGAAGATTATACACCATGACCATGTAGGATTCATTCCAGGGATGCAGAGATGTTTCAACATATGCAAATTAATAAATGTAATATGCCACACTGACACACCAAGGAGCCAGCTAAATAGCTCAGCAGATTAAAGTGCCTGCTTAAGCAGACAAAAGGCCCTGGGGTTCAATCCCTGGGCCTGCTATGCTAGGCCCACCCCAGGCATGCTGAGGTGGCAACTGAGACTGGGCATGGTGACACACACCTGTAATCCCAGCTCTTGGGAGGCAGTAAACAGGCGGATCACTATGAGTCCCATCTAGTAGTGAGAACCTGAACACCCCATAGACCCTTCCCTAAATACAGGAAAAAAAAATTACTTGACCTAGAAAGACACACAAAGGACAGAAACACTATGATCACCTCAACAGATGCAGAAAATGTATTTGACAAAGTCCAACATCCATTCATGATAAAAACCCTATAGAAATTTGGAATCGATTCTTTTCATTTTGTCTGACAAAAAGCCATCTATGACAAATCAACAGCCAACATCAGACTAAATGGACAAAAGCTGAAAGCTTTCACTCTGAAATCAGGAACAAGACAAGGATGTCCATCATCACTACTTTTATTCAATATAGTTCTGGAATCCTTAGCCAGAGAAATTAGAAAAGACAAAGAAATAAAAGGAAAGAAGATAGGAAAGGTAGAAGTTAAATTATCATTTTTATGGATGCATGATTCTCTATGTAGAAGACCTCAGAAGCTTCACAAAAAGACTTACAGGTTTAATACCTAAATTTAGTAGCCCAGCTGGATATAAACTCAGCACTCAAAAACCAATACCATTCCTACACACAGATAACAAATTCATTGAAAGAGAAATCAAGGAGATAACACCTTCCATAAAATGGCAGCCAAAAAAAGAGATGAAATACCTAGGAATCACTCTAACGAAGAAAGTAAAAGACATCTACATTGAAAACTACAGTACTGTCAAAAAGGAGACTTGAAGAGGACATCAGAAAATGGAAAGATAAGGGCTGGCAAGAAGGCTCAGTAGCCTAAGCACCTGCGTTGGGAAGCACAGGGACCAGGGTTCTATCCCTGGTGCTGCATGCCTCACTGGCCCTGCCTCTGGGGCACACTGAGCTGGTGACCGAGTCCAGGCGTGGTGGCACATGCTTGTAATCCCAGCACTGGGGAGGCTGACAACAGGAGGATCACCACAAACCCAAGCTGCATAGTGAGACCCTGTACCAAATACATAAATGAAAAGAAAGAAAGAAAATGGAAAGATATCCCCTGTTCTTGGGTAGGAGAAATCAATACAGTGAAAATGGTCATATTTCCAAAATCGTTATGCAGATTTAATGCAGTTCTAATCAAAATACCAGTAGCATATCTCACAGAATTACAGAAAACAACCCAAAAATTCATTTGGAACCAGAAAAGACCTAGAATATCAAAGGCAATTTTGTGGAGCAAAGGCAAGTCAGGGAGCATCACCATCCCAGACTCAAAATTATGCCACAAAACTACTATGATAAAAACAGCATGGCACTGGCCCCCAAAACAGACCTGAGGATCAACAGAGCACAACAGAAGGTGCAGAGAGAGTTCCAAACACCTCCTGGAAAAAGGAGCCAAATATCTTTAATGGGAAAAGATAGCCTCTTTATAGGGCTGGGGAGATGGCTCAGTAGAATAAGTGCTTCCATGGCAAGCACAAGGGCCTGAGTTCAATCCCCGGTTCTACAAAAAAAAAAGACAGCCTCTTTAATAAAAGGTGAGGGCATATTAAAACAGAAATGCTAAATTTGATAAAATAGAACTCTTAAAGATACTATAGGCAAAGACTTTATGAACAAAATGCTGACCACCCAGGAAATACCACAAAGAATCAACACCTGAAATCTCATCATATTAAAAGGCTTTTGTACAGAAAAAAGATCACCAATAGAGTGAAGAGGAAACCCAGTGTGGGAAAAATTTTTGCCAGCTGCTCCTTGGAGAGAGGACTAATATGGAGAACCTATAAAGAACAATCGGACCCCAGAAATTTAAAGACCCGATGGTCTTTATTTGCAGAAATGGCAAATACATATATAAAAAATGTTGCACATCACTGGTCATTTGAGAGGTGCAAATCATAACAATGCTGCGATTCCATCTCACTCCAGAAAGAACGCTGTCAACAAGAAAGCAGCCAGTGACAATTGCTGGAGGGGCGGCAGGGAGAAGGAACCTGCTCCAGTGTTGGTGGGAGTGCAGACTGGTGCAGCCACTGTGGAAATCAGCGTGGAGAGTCCTCAAAACACTAAGACTGAAGGCTCCATTTGACCCAGCTCTTCCCCTTCTTGGCATCTTCCCAGAACAATTAAAAGCATCAAACCACAGCAATATATGCACACCTGTGTTTACAGCAACACAGTCTGTAACAGCTACATCCCAGCAACACCCCAAATGTCCACCACCGAATGGATAAAGAAGGTGTGGTTTTCACATGCAATTCGGACTGTTCTGCCATAAAGAAGAATAAGCTTGAGATATTTCCAGGTAAATGGGTGTTCCTTGCGACCACACTCTTAAGTGAGATAAATTGGACACATGTGTAAATACCACATCGTCTATATGGTGTGAGAATCCGAAAGGGAAAATAAGGACCAAATGTATCATAGAAATTGGAAACTGGGAAGAAAATGTTCAAGGGGAACGAGGTGGGAAAGGGGGAAAGGAAAAAAGGGACAAGAAAAAAGAGAAGAGGAGGAGAAAATGGAAATTGCATTGCTTTGTAAATAAGGAGAAGAGGGGCTGAAGAGAGGGAGGCAAGGGGAAGGCGGAAGCAAGCTAGATCACGTGCAGGGACAAATTCCCTATGGCGCACCTGACTATTATGTGTATCTGAAATACACCAGTAATAAAAATAGCTCCTAGGACTCAGGGTTCCCCTCTGGAGACTGCACCTGTAGCTCAGGTCGGCATCTCCAGCTCCCTCCCAACAGCCCCCAGCATGCCGAGCACCCCCACCTCAGACCTACCTGGCCACCAGAGCTTCTCCCGGGACCCTCGGTCCTGGGTATTTGCAGGGCTGAGTCTGTTACCCTTCTCCTGGGCCTGCCAATGTCTCCGCGGTGGTTCCAGCCCTTCTGCCCAGTTTGAAGGTGTGCGCCGATGCCAGCACCCCCAGGCGGCCCAGTGCCCCTTCTTGGCTTTGCTTTTCCTTTCCTTCAGCTCTCTGTCTCCTCTGCCACTTCCTGTCCTGCTTTCTATTCTCCCCTTCAATGTATTTTCTAAAGAGATATGCTTTCTTCACACATTATCAAGAGGCTTAGACATTGCTTAACCTGTCAGGCAATGAGCCTTTCAAATCAGCAATCTGACAGGCCTGATGCAAGCCCCTCACTCAGGAGGCTGAGGCAGGAGGATCACCACGAATTCAGGGCCAGACTGAGTTACACAGCAGGACCCTGTTCCAACAAAATAAATATTTAAAAATGCCAGCAGTATTTTACCTCCATGCTCTTAAAGTTGTTGTTGTAACCATGGGTGCCGCCGCCGCAGGAGGTGCTAGCCTTGGTCCTGCAGAGAAAGGAAGTCACCGCTCAGTACCAGGTCCACAGGCCCCGTGGCCAGCCTCTGGGTCAGACAGCTTCCTCCTCTCACGCGCAGCACTGTCTTCACCCGCGACAAGTTTCATGCTTGGACTCCTACCCAGAAGGCCCATGCAGCAGGCAGGGCCCAGAGGATGAGGACTCCGGGTCTGCTCCCCCGGCCTGCACGTGCACGTGCACGGGGGGGAACAGCAGAGGCTGCACGCCAGATGAAGTGAGGGCTGCCACCCTCCCGCCTGCACCCCCTCCAGCCAGGCCTCTGCAAGCGGGAAGCCTCTGGCTGGCACAGGAGTTTGCACAGCCGCTGGGTGCCTCGGAAATCAACTTCTGAAGCTGGAAAAGAGGACGGATTCATATTTTACAGTGGCAATGTTTAGAAGCCCACTGTAAAACCAGGAATAACGAACTCGGTGGCAGAGGCTCTCAGCCAGTTTGAGGCCAGCCTGGCTGCAGAGCGAGGTCAAGGTCACACTGTTACCTAGCGAGACCCAGAGTCACGAGGCCGCCCCTCCCCTGCCCCCAAAGAGAACATAGGGGGCCACCTGACCCCAACACTTGGAAAGGGGAAGCTAGCATACCCCACAAATCCAGGCTCTATTTTTAACTTTTGGGACAGTCTCCCATGCATAACCTGCTGCTCTGTCCCTTGAATACCTTTTCACACATCATTAATGCATCTTTTGCCCCCTGGTTCGTGTCTTAATCTTCGAATTGGGCAGTATCAGCAATGCTATACACAGTTGGTTCTTATGCTTAAACAACAACAGATAATCCCAGACTTTCCCAAAGCAACCATGTTCTATCAGCTCTCGCTTGGGCTCTGAAAGGAGCAAGATCCTAATTGCCAACATCTTGACCTAGAAACTTTCTCTCATTTGCTTCTTCTTCCTGCCTCCCCGGAGCACACAACACACACACACACACACGCACGCACGCACACACACACACACACACACACACGCGCGCACACACACAGAGTTATTGTTTGTTTTCCAGGGAGAGCCATACTAAGAAGAGGTGAGAAATCTAGGGTCTTGAAGAAAAAGTTTTAGCAGAATTTGGTTACAGCCTGCCTGTAACCCCAGCACTTGGGAGGCCAAGGCAGGAAGACGGTGGGTAATTTAAGGCCAGCCTGGGCTATGTCACATGACCCCTTCTCAAAAAAACAAAATGAAACAAAACTATATATTTCTTATTTCACATACGTTTAGTTTCACAGGTTACTGGACTTATTTGACGCAAGTGAAGTAGGATTTAAATTCTCTACCAAAGCCTCAGAGTGTTTACTCATTAAAAGAAAATAATTTCAACCAAATCTTGGATCCACTTTCTCAAGTTGGTCCTATAGTTGTAATTCTATTTTCAGGAAGAAAAACCCCCTACTATTTATTGTATTTCCATCTCTTCACCCACCCATTAAAAACCCAAACTGCAGTAAAAAAAAAAAAAAAAAAAAAAAACCCGCAAGCCTTGCTGCAGACGTCTGGAGAGGGCTGCGCCTGTGCGCTCCTGCGGCCTGGGATGGAGACCAAGGGTCCAGCTTCCAGGACAGTGGGCGTCAGGGCTCAGGGTGGCGGACGGCTTGGGAAGACCTGAGGCTGCCCTGGGCAGCGCGCAGGCAGGGAGCTGAAAGCCGCTCCCGCAACCACTTCCCGCACTCTGAGCCTCCCGTGGGCCACGGCAGCCCTTCCTTTGGGTTGTCTGCTTGTTTTGAGATAAGGTCTCACTGCGTGGCCCCAGCTGGCCTGGAACTCACGGCGACCCTCCTGCCGCAGCCTCCCGGCGCCAGGATCACTAAGAACGACTAAGCACTCTAGCGCATCCTCACCCAGTTTTCAATGACTGGTTTCTCCAGAACAGTGTCATCAAGCCTCACTGCTGGCAGAAGACAGGTGAGCATGACGCACAGCGATGATAAAATTGGAGAAACCGGCTGTCACTGTGGAAAGGGGCTCTCATCTGGTTCCAGCGACCGAGGGACAGACAGACACCGAGGGGGTAGCGGGGAGCTTGCCCGGGAGAAGAGGCTCCAGTGGTGTTGCCACCACACAAGCAGCCAGGTGGGCAGGCAGGCCTGGGCACCTCGGGCTGCGCTTCTGTATGTCATCGCTGTTTGGGATAAAGGACATGCAGAGCTTGGCCTGGTGCTGCGTACCTGTAATGCTAGGAGGCTGAGGCAGGAAGGTCGCCTTCCTCGAGCTCGCAGCAATCCTCCTGCTCAGCCTCCTAAGGCTGGGGTTACAGGCGCCTGCCACTGGCTGGGCAGTCTTCTCTTTTCCAAGGCAGGAAAGCTCCACTTGGGCCCTCACCCAGAGCCAGCAGCCTCTGAGGGGCAAAGGCCAAGAAGCTCAGCTCCCAGGAGGGGCTGCTGCCACCTGGTGGCTGTGCGCAGAACTGCGCTGAACTGGAGCTGGTGGGGGAAGGCGCTCACGCGTAGGCTGGGTCCCGTGTTAATCACGGCGCATAATAAAGAACGCGTACTAGGAATCGGGAAATCTGCACTTGGTAATAGGACCGAGAGATGCAGAGAATGGGGGCATAAAACAAAAATTAGATGTGTCATGTCCGTGCACCAGCTCCTCATGACAAATGCGTTCTCCGTGTCCCGCAACAGTGCTAAAAAAAATTAAACAAACAAATAAATAAAGCGGCAGGTGCAGTGGCATGCAAGCCTGTAACGCTAACGCCTGGGAGGCTGAGGCAAGAGGATGGCTGCGGGCTTGAGGCCAGCCCGGACTGGACAGTAAGAACCTGTCCCTATAATAAAAGCGAAACTGGTGATAATTTTAAGAAAGATCACAGGTGGGACCTTGGAGAGGTGACTGGAAAAAGGGATTTACAAACATAGCCCTGTCGCCCTGCACACAGCAGTGGCCCACACCCTGTCCTCTGCCACCCACTCTGTCAGACTTCAGACGCTGCCCCACCCCCTACCGGCCCAGTCCACACCGGGCGAGGCAGACACGCCCGCGACCTCGATTCTGCTCGTCCTTTCTGCACCCAGAAAACAAATACATGACAGGAGACAGTGCTGGAACACCTGGTGTAGCCGTCTCCAAGGACATACAACCCAGCAGCAGCTGGCACCCACGGGGCATCCGCGACACCGTGGGCTTCACACGGTCTGCGTGTCTGGGGTGCAGTCTAACGTCTTCCGTCTTCCAGGAGACCCCGTATTTTATAAAGGTCCAGGGACCGACACAAATTACTAGTAGGAGTCAGAGATAAACATTACAGCCCACTGGCCTCACCCCATAAAAAGCTCTTTTTTTGCGCCTAAGCCGGTCTCGCGCAGAGCCTAGGCTGGCCCCAGCCTCTGGGCAACCCTCCTGCCTCAGCCTCCCAGGACTGGGATGGAGTATGAGCCTGCACCGCCCTGCCCGGCTCAAAGGCTCGTTGAAGAAAACCAGGAAGATAACAAAGCTCTCTTCCAGGTGAAGGCAGCGTGGGCCGCCTCGGCCTCACCTCGCGTCAGGGCCGGAAGAGGAAGGTGCAAAGCCCCAGGGGTGGGGCGGCTGCACCGCGCCTGTGCGGAGGGCGGGGTGGCGGGGACACCCACCTGCCCGCCAGCCACTGGCGCTGCATCAGCAGCTGCGCGCGGTCGATGCGCACGTTCCTGGCGTAGTGCAGGCGCTTGGGCAGGTCCGGCGACAGGTAGGGCTTGAAGTGCTGCTCGGGTCTTCGGCACTGAAGAAAGCAGAGTACTCAGTCGAGACAAGGAGGACGCAAGGGGATTCAAACACGTCACCCTGAGATAGCTCGCTAGGCGCGTTTCAAGGGGATTTCAGCTCAGCTAATGAGACAGCAGTGTTAACGCCTGAGCAACACGCCCCGTCTCTAAGTGTGTCACTTTGGTTGTTGCAACAAGAATTAGGTAAGAAATAAAGTTTTATTTAAATCATGACTACGTGATTTGTTCCCGAATATACATCTGAAGCAAACAACTTTGAGTCTAAAATTAGATATGAAAAGCATATAAGGTATTGATATGATAAAAAAAATTAAGTCAGTTTGACCAAAAATCCCTCCTCAAATGACTGCATTTATCTATTTACTTACTTATTTATAATATAAAATCACGTGTAATAGAACTCACAACCTCACACTTGCCAGGCAGGCACTGTGCCTTTTAGCTATTTCCCTGGCACTCCATTTATCTTTTAAGTAGCTGTTGATTTAGTTTTCAGATCAACAGCTTTTGAAACCACCTTCCTATCTGAACAATTCCTGGACTCATCACAAATTAAGAGTAAAAGATGGGGCTGGGGAGATGGCTCAGTGGAATAAGTGCTTGCCTGGCAAGCACAGGGGCCTGAGTTCAATCCCCGGTTCCACCAACAAAAAAACAAAAACAAAAAAAACAAAGAAAAAGAGTAAAAATTGGGGGCAGGGTTATGTTCTGAGTCAGGGACTCACTATGCAGTCCAAGTTGGCCTTGAATTCACGCTGGAGCTGAAGCTGGCCTCGAACTCATTGCAACCCTCCTGCCTCAGCCTCCTAAATGCTAGGATTACAGGCACGTGCCACCACATCCAGTTAAAGTCTTACAACGTTTTGTTCCTGTGATAATCAGTGCTGTAAACATGCAGCACGTTAGGATTGTAAAATGCAAATCACACTGGTATCTACTCATGGAAAAGAGGCCGTGAGAAAAAGATCTAGGAAGACGCTTTCTCTCCTGACCTCTCTGAGAAACAAGAGGAAAAAGAAACTACTGTAACATGACAAAATGGGATTTCTGCTACTTCAGTTTCTCATATGTTTCTCCGAAGTGCAAACTCTCACCTTTGCTAGCAACCCACATCAGCACTAGCTCATCTCAGTGTGTATCAGAAAAATGAGGAGGAGGGAATTAGAGAAAGAAATAAGTCAGTGGCCAGGGAGATGGCTCAGTAAAATAAGCGCTTGCCTGGCAAG